ATTTTTTGGGAAAATTTGTCGTCTGACTCAAACTATTGGGCATACTTTATAATTTTACCTTTAAGATAATCCAAAAGTACTAATAGCGTTCTTACTAAATTTTTAACCCGCCATAAATACAAGAAGATATTTGTAGGTTTCAATCAAATTACTTAGGCCAATTTTTAGAACCAAGTTTGACCCTGCCATAAATTCATATCTTCTTTTGTGTGCATTAATTTGTAGTTGTTGGAGTTATAAAAGTTTTGGGTTGTTCAAATGTAAATTTTTCTGCGTGATTTGGTAGGTATAGATGAAAATGGTGGTGGCTGCGGAGCACAACATTTATTTCATATATATTAGTTTGTTCTCGACTGTGTTGAGGCCAATTCATATTTTAAAATTATTTTAATCAAGAAATATGTGAGTACTATAAAACTTGTAGTAATAGTTTGTATTTAACTGGATGAATTGAAAGCATATCCCACATGCATACCTCGAAAAAACTATTGATGCGTGGGAGGAAAAAAATTCCCAAAGTATCAAATTCGAGAACATCGAGAATGTGAAGTAATATCAAACAAATTAGAAAAGATTCTAAGTTCAAAAAAAGTTAACAATATTCCCAACAAGACATTGAATTATGGTGTATTTAATGACTTGGAATATTAAGGAGATCGAACTAAAGGAGTGTACGAAAAAGAAAGAACAATACACCGTTTTTGCTGATCGGCTGTGGCGACTGACGAGGAGATTATTTCTCTAGAATTTTTTTATTAATTGTATATAATAAATATAGCCGAATGTTTTTTTATGTGATCTTCCCGAGATCGGATATATAATAGTAATCATGATGGTCTTTGAAAAATTTAACATGGGTTGGCCTAGGATCGTTTAGGCTGATTTTGAATTGCCTTATTCCGGGTTTGAGGGCCGGTACTTATACACAAAAAAAGAGTGTTGGTGCATTAAATAAGGTGTGCTAGATATGGGCGTAGGGTGCACGCAGCGTGTTTTCATGTAAAAGTTGATGGGACGTCTCTAGCAGTGTTATCGGTTTTATCAGGTCGTGTTCAGACGGTCAGGGCATTCGCCAGTCTTCCTTGGGAAGCTTCCGCGAGAGATCGCCATTCCAATCGAGCAATCGATAAAAATAGCAGTGATCGCTTGGGCCGTCCGTAGGATGATTTTCGTGTTTTGGGTCCTGTCCGTCCACTTGGCCTGAGATTTGTACAAGGGTCACATCATTTTTTATGATCGGACAATATTTTTTAGATTTTATTTTTTCATAATAGTTAAATAACTTGGATTTAACATTTGTCAAAAAATAAATCCGTTATATAATCAAAGAAATTTTTGTAATTTGCATCCTAAGGCTTTGTAGTCTAGTTAGCACATTATGCAATGAGAATACGTTTTACAATAATTTTACTATGGAATGTAGTAAAAAAAATCATTGTTGACAATAAAACACAAATACATCGCATGCTGAAATTCTAAAGAAGAGTTAATATATTTTAGTTTTGTTATCTGGCGATTAATAAAACTATTTAAAGTATCTAGTTACTATTTCTTAAATGGTAAATTATATTAACTTGAAAAATTATTTCTTTTTTATAATTAAATAAAGCTTAGAAAAAAAATTATATTGATAAAGATTAATTCATAAACTTGATTTAATCTGATTAATTATGTGAAGAAAAAATTTACCTAGCCCGTTACGATATTTTATAAGTATTTTAGGATGAAAAGTCAATATTTATAAAAACAAAATTAATAATATGGTTAGACCTTAAAATTTGTTTTCATGTTTATTTTGACCAAATATTATCATGAATATCAATGAAATTATTGCAAATATTAATAAAATTATTTAAGTAAAATTTTTTTTTATACATGCAAAAAATTAATGGAAAAAAAGTATAAAGAAAGTTTTAATTTGATTTGATTTGAAAATTTATACATGCAAAAAATTAATGTATACATTTAAAAAGTTATAAAGAAAGCATACATTAAATTTGGATAAGACTACAGTCCCATTACAGAACCATTCCGTTGAGATTTTTAACCGTTAGATGCACATGTAGATTAGTGTAGCATGTGCATCTAACGGTTAAAAATTTCAACAAAATAATTTCGTAACGGGACTGTAGTTTTTTCCTAAATTTACCTAAATTTCGTTTCTACTATATTTAGTAAAACTTGTATCTATATAGGTGTATGTATATTCACACTAGATGAATTTATTCATGTAACTCAACAAAATACAGGAAAGAGCAATAAATTACCAAGGGCCCTTCAGTACAACGATTTAACACAGCCAAGGTGTACAATAAATAAATTCCACCCACCCTTTCTTATCCCACCAATCCTAATATTAATTTCCTACTCTTTTTATACAAAAACAATAAAAAAAATAGAAAAATTGAGGATTTACACACTGTATTATGCACTCTATATAAGCACGATTGGCCTCACTGACAACCTTGTTGAGTCTCAAAACACATACAGCCAAAAACACACTCACACACACAAAGCTTAATTATATATATAACAAGAGGAAAACGAAAAAGAAAATTCAACGGTGGGGATTGATTGGGAGGGGTGAATCTAATGGAGGTGGATGAACCTGTGAGCCCAACTGGGCAATACTTCACAAGCTCAGTCATATCAGTAGCTGTAATAGCTGTTCTCGAATCGGAGAAGGCCATAGATGATTCTCACACAATCTCATTGCTCCAAAATGTCTTTCTTCCAATCAGCTCTCGTTTCTCCTCAATCATGGTAATTTGTTCCTCGTTAATTTATTTAAATGTCAAATTTTTGTTAGCATAACGTTGGTGCACAATCTTTATGATATTTCGTCTAATATCCATGCTTTTCTGAATTTCAGTGTACGTACGATTATCATAAACATCTACATATATTTTAATATAAAAAAATAGATAATTAAATTATGAAATGTCATATTTTTTAAATAGTATACTTTATAATATGACGTTTAAACATTAAGTTATGTGATTATTTCTTATTAGTAATTGATTTATAAGAATAGCAACGCAAATCAATTTGTAGGTGACACAAGTACAACAATATCACGTGATTTTACATCTTTTTGAATTACCACCGCACACAAATATTTAAGGAGTATAGTTGGCAGCTGATCATCTGCCCAATTTTTTTGTTTATTTATTTTTTTTATAATTTTTTATTTATTTATTTTTATTTTTATTTTTTATCTGTAGCCTGCCCAAATTTTAATGCTACGGCATGTGGCACGAGTCAAGATATTGCATTAACATAAAGCACTACCGAAAATGACGTCTATCAATATATATATTTATTATAAGATACAATAATTAACTATATAAAATCTATATATTAAATATTTATTTTTATCACTTTTATGTATATTATATATAATAAATGTATTATATATATAATAAATGTAATATATATATTTTAAAATTAATTACACGGTTTAATAATTGACCCAATTATTCAGATACCTGTCCGTTCCGGGTTTTAAAAACATTGGATACAAGGATGAAACCGACTATACAAATAAAGTGGACAAATAGATAAGCTACCCCGGAGATGCATATATTAATTTATACCGTAAAGTCGTTGTTCGACAAGTCTAACAGTTAAGGGCACGGCTAGATATAAATAAATCACTTTTAATTGGATTATTGGTCAAAGTGAATTGATTTGAATAAAGTTGATTAAATAGAATATTGAGTTTTTATTTAAATAATATTTAAAATGTAATGATGAAATTGATATAACGTAAAAGTATGAGAGAGATTATTGGAAATGATAGATAGTTAAAAAATATTTGAGTTGCTAAATAATCAATTAAAGTTGATGTGATGTGATTATTGATTTATATTATTTATTTATATCAATAATATTGAGGAGAGCTATGTCGTCAAATTAAATTCGAGTTTCATTTTGTGGTATGTCGAATTAAAATGGATTTTGATTGGATTTATTAGTTAAAGTGAGTCATATTGAATAAAGCTGATAGAGTGGAGGATTGCGTAAGATTTTGAGTAATTTATATTTAAATATTATTTAAATGTAGTGAATGTTGATGTCATGTAAAAGTATGAGAGAATTATTGAAAATGACAGGTAGTTTAAAATATGTGAGTGAATGAATATAAAGTTAAAATTGATGCAATGTGTTAAGATGATTTATTGATATTATTTAATTATACTGATAAGGTTGAGAAGAGTTAAGTTGGATTAAAATTGAGTTGGATTCTGAGTTAACAAATATAAAAAAAAATAATCTGATTAGTCAAAATCGGTTTTAATCTATAGCTAATCGCCCTTATAGTGTAAAAAAATTATCCAGTTAGTCCAAACCAGATAATTTCTGTAGCTAATCGCACCTTAAGTATTTTAATTTTTTTTTTTTTATCATATATGCATATTTTTAGGTCATACTCTCAAAACACAGTATGAACAATATATAACATTTTATAGCATAAATATGTAATTTTGTTAAAAATGTATGAAGGATTAACCCGTCTAACTCATTAGTAATGATTTTATGGCAAAAAAAGCATATAATGCTATGGGCCTTGCCTTCATAATTTCGAACAAGGGGACAACACCTTTTACATCGGTTAAAAATCACGTTCACATCAATTAAAACCCTTTTTTGAAAGAGACGTTGAATCACGCGATGTAAAAAGTCTGTTCTGTATACATCGGTTTTATTAAACTGATGGCATCAGTTTGGCACATCATGTTTTGGCTGGCCTTCATATCAGTTTATTTGAGCCGATGCATCGTAAATGCACCGGCCCACATATCGGTAGTGTTGGAGGTTGGAATCGATGCCTATGAACAGGCCCATACATCGACATTTTTGAATCGATGCTGGAAATTAACTTTTTACATTGGTCAGACATAGAGCCGATGTAATAAGTGTTGCCCACCAAATCGTTCACATCGATTTTGTAGGAACTGATATACCGAATGAAAATTTATTTACAAAAATACTACCGCCTTAGTTGTTTACTTTAGTTTCGGCAAAACCGATGATGTGAAAAGTGTTTTTCCTATTAGTGTTCGGGAGCTTCTCCAATCTTTCATGTCAGAAGTTCGCAAACATGCCTCTATTTTCAAATTTGGTTTGCAGTACTATTGTGTGTTGTCGATTTGTCGAAGTAAATCGGTCAAATTGGTTAGAGTTGGCAAAAACCGGTCAGAACGGGGAAAAACCGGTCGGAATGCTTCATCTTTTTTAGATATAATTAAAAAATAATTTTAATATAAATAAAAATACATACTTAAATTCAATAAGTATGCATAAATTATTCACTAACAATTACATATCCTTTAATAAAAAATTCAAAATCTCATCAACAGGTGGAGGACAAAAACGGAATCAAACGCTGGAAAAAGGTTGACGTGAGTCTCCAAGACCACGTCCGGACCCCGATTTTCCCGGCAGGCCAGCCGCCGGAATTCTACGACCAGTGCTTCTCCGACTACCTGTCCAAAATATCCCTAGAGCAGCTGCCCCAAAGCAGGCCATTATGGGAAATTCACATATTCAAGTACCCCACAAAAACCGCCGCCGGCAACGTGGTCTTCAAGCTCCACCACGCGCTAGGTGACGGTTACTCCCTCATGGGGGCCCTCCTCTCTTGTCTGCAGAGGGCCGACAATCCCGAAATCCCGTTGACTTTCCCGTCCTTCAACCCAACAACTGTGGAGGCCCGGGATAAGGCCCGTGATAGGGCTCAACAAGGGTGCCTGGGTTTATCCGGCATGATTGATACGGTTCGGGATTTCGGGTGGAGCTTGATGAAGAGCTGTATGATTGAGGATGACCGGAGCCCGATAAGGTCGGGGGACCAAGGAGTCGAGTTCCGGCCAATCACAATTTCGACGTTGTCTTTCTCGCTTGACCGGATTAAGCAAATCAAGGACAATCTTCATGTGGTACATTTTTTCTTTTTCTTTTTTTTTTTTTTTTTTTNTACTAAGTTAGGTAGGTATAGAGGTCAAATAACTATATTTTTTTTAAAACACATGTCTATGCTTTCAAACTGAAAAATCATAATATAAAAAACCAAACAAATAAAAATAAGACATTTTACTGGTATATAAATATGAACTGACGACACATCTACAGTTATTAGACTGCCTAAAATCTGTGTTTGTAATTATATTACTACAGTTAACGCACGCGGATCAATTTCTTTGGTTGGTGATATTATTTGCAGTACCAATATTTATTGTACCTGTAAATTAATGGTTAATTAAATTTTCAGCTGAAAATGTACCTGTTGGGGCATTTTTACACCAGCTAATAAATAGTATCTCAATGAGTTTCTTCCTTCTATTTTGTTATTAATTGTTTAAGAAAATGATGGGCTACTATATGTCATACTATGGATTTTGCTTTTGTCAATTTATATACACTCATACGTTAGGTGGCTTTACTATTCTGAGTTCCAATTAACTGCAGCTACATTTCATCAGCATAGATATCTCAAGAGGGAAGGGGAATTCTTAACAAAAAAAAAAAAAAAGTGGGAAGGGGAATTAATTTCAAAAATATATATTTTGTTTGGCCTATTTCGAATTCAATTTCTTGATAATATAGGTGTATCCGATGACCGGACATTAACTGTGTTCCATGCCTGAAAATAATGGAAATTGATTGCTTGAACAGGATTATTAATTAGCTTGTGATATGTTCACTACTTATTATAAGTACTATGTTTAGTTAAACGTCACTAAATAACAACTAGCTGATAGTTGACAAGTAATTAATTTCGAGATTATTACTTGTAGTTTACAGTTGATATAAATAAAAGCGTTTGGTAAAATTAACTGACAAGTCAATTGAAATACACACAAGCAAAAAACTAACTTTTGAGCAAACATTAATATAGACGATAAACGACGTGATATGTGGAGTCCTTTTCCTGGGGATCAGACTCTACATACAGTCCGCGAAGCACGAGCAGAGGAATGCAGAGGCCACCTCGTTAGTCCTTCTCAACACAAGAAACATCGGTGGCTACAAATCGGTCTCGGAAATGGTGGAGCCCGAGGCCGACTCCCCTTGGGGCAACCAATTTGCTTTCCTACACGTGTCCGTGCCAAAACTGTCTGCAGACAACCCAAACCTAGATGACCCTCTCAGCTTCGTGCTTCGTGCTCGCAAGGTGATCAAGCAGAAGAGAAACTCGGCAGCTGTTGTTTTGACCGGGAAATTGCTCGATACTTTGAGGAGATGGAGGGGCACTGAGGTATGAATCATCAATTGTTATTTATCTACTTAACATTGGTTAATTTGTGTAGTTGAATCTACTATAAAAAAATGTCGGTTAGCATTGCAGACAACGTAAGCATTTACTGAAATACAAATTTTGAAATATACGATGTTTCAATGTGAAATGTTTTTCTGTTTAGTTGAATCTACTATAAAAAAATGCAGGTTACTTAACGTTGCAGACAACATAAGCAACTACAAAATCAATTTAAAAAAAAAAATACGACGATTCAATGTGAATATGTTTTTTTGTTTGATGTTGAACTACTATAAAGAAAATGTCGGTTAGCGTTGCAAACAACAACATCAACTATTAAATCTATTTTGAAAACTACGATGTTTCAATGTGAATATGTTTTTCGTTTCAAATCTATAAATTTACTTATGTATACTCAATTTGAACCCTCATATACATATATAAGAAAATGAAATATTTATTTTGTTGGATAAATTGTGTCAGTTGACTGCAAAATACATTCATAGCACATTAAAGAACACAAGCATGACAATATCAAACATAAAGGGGCCAATTGAAAAGGTGTCTTTGTCCAACCATCCTGTCAAAGGCTTCTATTTCATGGTCGTAGGCGTTCCTCAGGTACTAACATACTATTATTATTATTATTATTATTATTATTATTATTATTATTATTATTATTATTATTATTATTATTACGCCCTGTCATTTTTTAGTTTTTACAGACATGGTATGAAAAACTAATGTCCTTCAATGTAATAAGTCAGTGGATTGATAATTTGCAGAGCCTTACAATAACAATGGTGAGTTATATGGGAGAGCTTAGGGTGGCTGTTGGTACCGAAAATGGGCTGATTGACGGGCCCAAGTTCAAGTCCAGCATTCAGAAAGCCTTTGATTTGATTTTCAAAGCTGGAGTCCCTACTCCTTCAATTAAAAATGCATAAGCATTAATCTTGTGCTAGTTAAATTTTTATTTTTTTTTATATATTTGTATATTGTAGTTTTTGGATTCTTTGAACCATTGTCATTAAATTTGTCAAAAGTTTACTTCATTTATGGATTTCAGATCATTTGATTATGCAGTTGGGTTGTTTTTTGAGTAAAGCAATTCAAGTCCCACTACAAGGGCAAGAAATGAACAAATGAGGAAAAATTTTGTTGTGGAGTCTTGGCTATCTAATTTCTGACTGAGAAATCAGTTCTACAATTAAATTTATACATATCCCAATAAAATAAAAAAACTTTATGCAATAATGTATATTCAAAATGTATCACTATAGTTCATCTGTTCATATATAACATTTAACGAGTGCTGTATAGTTCTTATATCTAACACGCATTGTTTTAAAGAGCAAGCAACACATCATGACCTTAAGGTCACGCGGTTGGGCCGCTAATCATGGCAGCCCAAATATGACGCTCCAACCCATATGGATTGATAGTTCAAAAAATCAGAGAGTGTACTTAATTCTAAAAGATCGTACTATTATATATATTCATAAGTAATTGTTTGATTTTAAAATGGTTTGTAAACAGGTCGGGCCAGCGACCAGGTTTCAACTTTTGGAACTCGGTTTTGGGCCTTTGGCAGAAAAATGAATAAATAAAAAAAATTGGGTCCAAGGAAACTATTAGTTAGGGTTTCAAATCTATAAATACCACCGTGTTCGACCTATCTCTTGTGCCTCCGCCTCTTCTTTATCTGTAGAGAATTACTATTGAAATTTCTATGTGTATTTTTATTTTTAAATTTTTGATATTTTAATTTGTCATATTTTTGTGATTTGGGCTAATAGAGGAAGGATGAAAATGATGAGATTAATTGAAAGGTGATGGTATATTCCATCTGATCAACTCTCAATTTTCATATTCGCTACGTTCTTTCTGATTCCTCCTCCCCTAATTTAGTTTCTTCTTATCCTTTTTTAGGGATATTTTAAACTTTATTTTATTTTATTTTACTGTATTTTGATTGGCTATATGTGATTCTAATGTATTTTGATTGACCAAAAAGAAATAAATGCAATTTCTTCAATTAGGTTGAAACGTTCACGACTTATTTGATTTGAACACAATCCTGAAATTTATTTCAATTAAGTACTTTCATTTTGGGTTTAATCCCTTCACTTATTGTCAGACTACATTCTCCATTGAATTAATCAAGGTCTATTTTGGGCGACGAAATTTTTTAAAATTTAAGGCGCTCTATTGGGATTGTGAGTGATATAGGCATTCTATATAGAAATAATATTTTGAATTTTTTTAAAATTTATGACTTAAGAGATTTTTCACATGAATCTAGTCTTATGATTTTGAGTAATATTTTGAATTTTTTTTAAAATTTATGACTTAAGAGATTTTTCACATGAATCTATTCTTATGAAATTATGAAATAATATTGAGTGATATTTTGAGATTTTTTTTATATATAAGACTTTTGAATATTTTGATAAATTTTATGAAATTGTAAGTTAAAACTTTTCAATTCTACCTAATTCTCTCACTCAATTAAAATTAAAATTAGTATGTAACTCGTGTGTTGCAAGGTAGTAATTATTTTGGAAAAGATAATAAATTGAAGGTTATTAATCAGTAAATTATAATACGCAGAGCATTTATATATTAATAATAAATTTTTTTATTAGTAATTAATCATAAATTATTAAAAAAATATTTATATATAATATTATTAGTTTGATTATTTGGTATCTAAAAATAGGTTTTCTTAATAACAATTCAATATGCGATCAAAACTGACATTGATCTTGAGTGATATAGCAATCTTTGATCGGGTTAAAATTTTGTGTGCGACCTTCTGGACTAAATGAACTCAACAGTGAGCCACCCACCTAAGGTCCTAAACGGTGGTTAGATGGTGCCGACATAACCCCATGACAGAAACCAACAAAACTAATGGCCACTTTAAAAATTTATTTGCGGCGGCAAGTCTTTTATATTTTTGTAAATTAATTTATTAAGTTTGTTGTCCGGCAAATTAATTTATCTTATGTAAATAGGAACAGCTCAGTAAAGTCGGTAAATGAATCGAGTAGCTCGTTAAGACTCGAGAATTGCTCGACTCAATAAAGGTTGAATTCAATTAGATAAATTAGCCAATCTCAAGCTAGGTTAGTTAACGATCAAAGCTCGTCTAGGCTAGATAAATTAGCCAAGCTTTAGCTAGTTTAGTTAATGATCAAAGCTCGTTTTGACTCGTTAAAACTTGTTTAAATATATTTTCCAAACTATTACCTTAGTTCAGCTTGTTAAAGTTTAAATTCGACCTGTTATAGTGCTCGTTAATTTTGATAAACAAACTTTGTTAATTGTTATGGCACTCGTTAATTTTGATAAATAAACTTAGCTCCAGCTCTTTATTAGTCGGATTAGTTGACAGAGCTCATCTCAGCATTACATAATTAGAGGTGGCCATTCAACGGGTTCGGGCCCGGCCCGGCCTGGCCCGCCGGATCGACGGTCCGCCTGGCCGAGGCCCGGAATCGAACCGGACAAAGGGGCGGTCCGGGACCGGTTCTGAGCCCGGACCCGCCGGTTCATCGACCCGGCGGGCCAAAAATTAAAAAAAAAATAAAAAATATTACAACACAGTTGCCGGCGGTCGACCCGCGAACCCGCCCGGCCTGGACCGGAACCGCCGGTGCAAAAAAAAAAAGCAGTGACCCTGGACCGAACCGCAACCCTTACGGTTCGGTCCAACAGACCGGCCCGAATATGGCCGGTTACGGGCTGGTCCGGGTCGGTTCGGTACCGGTTCACGGTCCGGGCCACGGGCCGGTTCGGCCCGTGGCCATGTCTAATTACATATATTTGAGACCGCACTCAATAAATATATTTATTTAACTAACACATAATTGCATTATTTTTTAATTCATATTGGTAGATAATTTAGTTTTTATATAAAATTTATATATGAAATATGAATTTCAAATCAAAATTTATCAAAAGATAATTAATTTAATTTATTGTATATGAAATAAAATAATAACGAATATGAAGTTATTAACTTTTAAAATATATACATAATTTAAGTTGATCAAGTATTTTTTATTTTTAAAACTCCTCTTACCCATAGGTAAGTCTGAGTATGTATGAAGTATGAACTACCCCGAAACACTATAAATTGACATCTCATATTGTCAAGCAACAGAAATCGACCCATAGGGTACAAGACATACACATAGGAGTACGAAGCTCAAAAAATTGACACAAATGTTTGGAATGTCTACATATATATAAATGTAGAGAGAGGCTTTTTGATTGCTAAGATAAACAATTATTTACTATTCTGTTCATTTTTTTATTGTGTATTTGCCCAAATTACATTAATATAAATTATTCATGTTGTATCGAAAGTGGGATTCAAATATATTTCCTTAATTCCTACGTCAAAATCCAAAACTGCATAAGATTTGGGATGGAGGAGCTAGTATAATATTACATTAGAAACTAAATTTGCTCTACTTTCAAAACGCATTAGTAATTTGGATGCTAACCAACATGCCTATTAACTTGGCAATTTATTATGATTTGGCCTATTTAGTTTTCTCTTGGACCTTATTACATGGTGCTCGATGTAATTAATTTGCATTATGGAGCTGTGATGTCACATTCGACCAACTTTGACTTCATTCAAGTTACAATTTAGCAGTTACCAATTGGCATCACATCTGGTAGGAGCAAGGGCGTTAACTCAAGCTCGAGCTCTTGATATTTGAGTTCTGACTTGAGGCTTTATTTAAACGAGCTCGAATTTTGCATATTTATCTAGATTAAAAAGTTGAAACTGAGTTTAAACGAGTCGAACTCGAATCTTAACGAGTCAAATGATAAAAAATTATATAACTCTTTTCTATTTTAGAGCCTTAACAAACTTAAATGAAATGAGGTGACCAACGGATCGTTTTATTTATCAGCTCTGGTGAGACTAAATTAATGCCGTCGTGTTTATAATACCTTGACCTTACCAATTACCATCTAATTATCAATTGAGAATATCATTTATTTATTTCAGAAAAAAAAAATTATCTTCTACTAGGTACCAATGCTGATTGAGCAATTGAGCTCTATTCTAAGGACAATACTTTTACCTAATTAAGCATACATGAAAATGGTTACACAACTGAACATAAACCATATGCATCATACAAATTAAGGTTGAACGTCACATAATAAATTCTTTGTACAACGTAAAAAAGTATAACTCATTGACTGCATGAATTTGAAGGTTTCCAAAGTAAAAACCGAAGGCTGAAAGGTCATGCAATATTCAAAACTCATTAAAACGCCATTTTATTACCTAATTAATAAAAAAAATCTCTTTTTTTCCCCATTCCACCCTAACATGTCCATATAAATACGTAGTGTCATATTGTCCTCACATCACTGACTCCAAAACGTTCAGACCTCCCACAATTTACTTATAACAGTAAAAACTCCAAAGTTCCAAAACTCATTCTGCAATGGAACTGGCGTTAGCAACATTGATTATAATTGGGTTTTTGTGCTCATCATCAAAGGCTCATACATTCAATGTTGGTGGCGAAGATGGTTGGACCCTTCATCCCTCCGACAATTACACCCTTTGGGCCGAAAAATATCGTTTTGAGATCAACGATCAACTTGGTTCGTTCATTATTAATATTCTCAATCTTGTTTATTAATATTCGATAATTGACATTTTGATCGTGTCGTTTTTTTCTTATAGTTTTCAAGTACAAGCAAGGGCACGACACGGTCCTTGTCGTGAACCGCAACGACTACACCAAATGCAACAAAGAAAACCCGATAAGAAGCTTCAAGGGCGGCCACTCGGTATTCAAGTTCAAAAAATCGGGTCCGTTCTACTTCATAAGTGGGCATGACCAAAATTGCGAGAAAGGGCAAAAGTTTGAAGTCATAGTACTTTCCAAGAATCATCATTTTCCGACCCCTTCGCCGGAAGCGGGACCCACGGCCCATGCTCCGACAGTCGAGCCGCCGTCTCATTCCCCATCACCATCTCCGACAGCTGGCAAAACATCATCTCCGGCAAGCGAGCCACCATCTCGTTCTCCGTCACCGTCTCCGGCTGCCGGAAAAAACCCCACAAGAATCTCGCCAGTCGAGCCACCATCTCGTTCCCGGTCAACACCACCGGTGGCTAAAGCTCCGGCAAAAGAGCCGCTGTCTCATTCACCGTCACCATCTCCATCCCTGGCTGCCGGTAAAATTCCGACACGAATCTCGCCAGTCGAGCCACCAACTCATTCTCCGTCACAAGCAGAATCTCCCAAGAAGAGTTATGGTGCACCTGAGCCGGACACAGAGCATCACCACCGAGCACTGCCGCCACGTGGCCACCATGGTCTGCACTTTGGGCTGCGTCCTATCTTTCTTTTTGGGTATTAAAATCAGATTCTCAGATTTTGGTCTTGGGGCAATTTTTCATGGTTTCTGCATGCATTGTTTGAGTTCGTTT